AATCGCGAACGACAGGATTCCGTCGTTTGTCGATAACGGCGTGTAACCTTGGACTAAGCGCGTTTATCTCCCACGTTCAAGTCCTGAGTGGCAAGGTTCGTGGCCAGTCGGGGTCTGTAACATTTAGGATCTTATTATCGAATTATCTGACAAAGCTACCAGTTCCTTCGTTTGCATATTACGACGCGTATGGAGATATCCTGAAAACCGATTTAAACGTTGCTGCACGAATTCGTTTCACTTTATATTATTCCGTAAACAAACAAACGCGACACCCGGGAATCGGCCGAGTATTTTTGTCGTTCGAGATGTGTAGCGTACGAATATTCCCTCCTTTTCGTTCTAGTTTTCCCGCGATCGAAACTTTATTTAACGGACAAGCTCTTTTAATTGTTCGTTTAACGTTCGCAGGGAAAGTTCGCTAATCCGAAAATTCCGGAAAATTTGAAATTTTTCAGAAATGTGGCTGAAAGTAACGCTAATAACGAATCCGTTTTTTGTTTGGTAATGAAACGGTCCTAGGAATGAAAGTCTTGGCGCTCGATTGTCTCGAGCAGGGTTGTTTGGAGAGGAAATTATCCTCGCGATGTTCAGTTATTCATAAATAGTACTTTGCTCGATAAGTATTTCCAGAGTATACACCGTGTTGGTTATAAATCGGAGTAGTTTTCTCTGTGTTGGAGTGCAAAGTTGTTGGATATCTGACCGCCGATTTTGTGTGGTTTTCGAGGAAAACTTTGCTAGGAAACTAGGAATGGATGCATTTTTATTCTGATCAGACGGTGTAGCTGGGCCTTGTCTCTTAGAAGAGGGTCAAAATAGCGGATAATGTGTTTTTTCCGGCTCTTAATTTACTTAATATAAACTGAAGTTGATATAGTATTGCACGATGAACAATGGATCGCGCGGGTAAAATTTGCAGTCGTTGACATTTGAGGGTTCAAGGGGGTATTCTGGTTTTAAATGCCATTTTTTAAGCAAATTTTAGGATTTTTTTTCGAAAGAACCGTTAAACTTTTTGCATTAGGGTTTCGCACATACGTTTATGGGTATTTAAAGTGCATAATATATTTTGTTGAAGTAGAAACAATCAAAATTCCACGAGTTATAGTTTGTTTTATAGAATGTGCTTTACAGAAAGTGTGTTGACTGTTTACATGATTCTCTAAAATGAAGAAATGAGGAAGAATCTTAATCGGTATAAATCTGGCTACGGTCTGAACGAGAATAAAACAAAAATATTGATTATTCACAAAATTTTGAATTTAGATTATCGATTTTTTTCATATTTTGCCGTCTTTAGCGTGCTGAAAGAGTAAGAGAAAAACGACGGATGTTAAAAATTTTGGTTCGTGCGATAACAGGACGCGTGCTGAAGATTCTCTAGAAATTTCAAGTCAATTGATAAACTGGAACTTGAGATATAGTGTAAAACGTTTCGAAAAACGAGGTTCCGAGAAAAACGCGGTTAAGGATTCGTCTATCCATTTCGTTACGCATCCTTCAAACGCTTACATCTAAATTAATTTTACGAATTCGAACAAATCCTTTTGCACACATGTTCTAGAATACTTACACTCTAAGAAAGTGCAAAAAAAAATTGGAGTTTTTGAAAGTTCAGAAGCAGGAAAACCTCCTTAAGTTGTAAACGTAGAAAAAAAGAGAGAATGTTTTGTAGTGGATCTTCGTGTTTAAGTTCTATTATCGCGAATATTCACGAAATCGTACAAGATATGGAAGAAAAAGGTCAAATTGCATTGTGGCGGTAAAGAATTTTCGAAAAAAGAGCAGCGGAGGTAAATTTCTTAGGAAAATTTTTAGAACCGCAATGTAGGACATCGAAAAGCACACAATTTTGAAATATACTTAACTCCTTTTCCATATCTTGCACGGTTTTATAAATATTCGCGATCATTTCATCGCTAGAAACAAACATGGTGCCGTTATTGCATCATCAATTAAACTATGCTTCTGCAAAGTTTCAAATTTCCCGGGATTCTCGAGTTACCAAACTTCCCTTGTAGGTCGATAAAATATGATAACCATGGTGTTTTTAAAAGATTAGCGCGAGCAGATATACGGGGTGGCTAAATGAGGCGTAGAAGTCAAGGGACTTCCCGTAGAGCTTCTCGCATACCGGACAACCGGAAACGCTCGTTTTCATCGTTAAAGATATATTACACCTGCTGCTGCCGCCGCCTCCAAAAGGAAAAAAAGAATGCGTGCCTGGTGTGTGTGCGTGTGCCTGGTTGAAAACCTGCGACGGGGGGATATATACAGGGGCGTGAATGCGTTATTTACATACACGTGCGATCTATAGATCGGGCTAGTGAAGAGAATGGAGCCTAAGAAAAGACTTACTCTAATCGTGTATCGTTCGAACGAGATTAACTCTGTACTTACACGCGTAAATATATTTATTTTGAAATTTTTCTCGACTACGACGCTTGTATTGGTCTCGCGATTGGAAAGACGCGCGCGCCAGCGACCGTATCTCTCGTCGAAACGATATATGCTCGAATTGTTCTTTCTTCTTCCGCCTTTTTCCAGCTTCTGCTGTTCGCGAAAAAAGAAACATCGTTCTTTTCGAGAAGAAAAAGAAAAAATTTCTTCTTGGCATACGTTCAAGCACGCGAAAAATCTCGCTTCGACCCGAATCGCTCTCTCTCTTCTCTTTCGACTCTAATAATTCGTGTATGCATTCCTCCCTCTCG